ACATCCGTCCGGTATTCACTTTTTTCTTTCGGTTTGTTCGGATACTGGTCGGATCGGTGGAATTTGCCCACCCCTAATACCCTTTCATGAAGAGTTGCATCCTGTGTAGTTTTGTTATTTCTATTTTGGCCCATCATAGAAATAGAAATAAGACTTTTGATATATACACATTACAAAGCCCATACTTAGTGAGATATCATTAATCCCAAAAATTAATTCTTATAAGATCACTCCAGATGGGATTATTCTTTAGATAACTTATAACACATAATTAATGATATATGTAAGCCCACATATTAGATAAATATCTAACAATCTCCTACTTGGGCTACATATGGCATTAAATCAATCATGTACTATAAGATAACCTTATGAGCTCTAAAATAATATCTTTACTAAATAACATCTCTAACAATCTGGTCCATTAATCATATAACATAGGATCAAAGCGATCTTCGTTACATTCATCGTAACTAGACCCATCAATGGTCACATATATCAATATAACCAACGACATAGATCACGTATGGATGTGTATCATGGAAAATTACATGCAATGTGATCTAAACATGCCTATTTCCAACTGGTCCAACTTTACTCTTTAGTGAGATAATAACAAATGAATTCAAAGTGAAAACTTTAACCAAAAGAAACTTTATTCTGCAGAGAAAATACTTATTAAGTATATCTTTAATAAACAAGCATCCAAATACAAACTCCCACTAGAAAAATACATCATCCGATGACACAACACCCATATGAGCAATGCGCTCATGAAAGACCTTGGGTGGTAAACCCTTAGTGAGCGGATCCGCAACCATGGAGTCTGTACCAATATGCTCTATAGACACTTGACCACTCCGAACTCTTTCCTTAACAACAAGGAACTTAATGTCTATATGATTAGATTTAGATGAACTCCTATTGTTGTTAGAAAATAATACTGCAGACTTATTATCCCAAAATAACTTTATTGGTCTTTCAATACCATCCAAAATTTGCATCCCAGTGATAAAATTCCGCAACCATGTTGCTTGATTGGATGCCTCATAACAAGCTATATACTCTGCTGCCATAGTGGAAGAAGCTATGAGTGTCTGCTTAGCACTCTTCCATGAAATAGCTCCTCCAGCAAGTAAATATATATAGCTAGAAGTGGATCTCCGACTGTCTTGATATCCAACAAAATCTGAATCAAAATACCCAATGATCTCTAACTTATCCTATTTTCTGTATGTTAGCATATAATCCTTTGTTCTCTGTAAGTACCGTAAAACCTGTTTGGCTACTTTGTAATTATCCATTCCTGGGTTACTTACATATCTGCCTAACATTCCAACAATGTACGCAATATCCGGATGCGTACATACTTGAGCATACGTTAGACTCCCTACAGCCGATGCATAAGGAGTCTTTTGCATCTCTTTCACTTCAAACTCATTCTTAGGGCACTTATTGAGACTAAATTTGTCTCCTTTAGCTACAGGGGTGTCACCTGGTTTAAGAAGCTTGCTTGAGCCCATAGATGGATTTCTTTAATTTGCAAACCATTTTCTTTGCATCTGCAATCACAAAGTTTTCTGGTTGTACCATATATATTGTTTCATCAATGTCTCCATTGAGAAACGCAGTCTTTACATCCATCTGATGTAGCTCAAGATCAAAATGATCCACAAGTGCCACTATAATCCTAAAAGAGTATTTCGAAGAAACTGGAGAGAAAGTCTCTTTATAATAAATGCCCTCCTTTTGAGTAAAGGCGCCCTTGGCAACAAGACGATCCTTATATCTTTCCACATTACCCATTGAATCCCTTTTGGTTTTAAATTTCCATTTACAACCAATGGGCTTCACACCTTCAGGTATAGTGACAAGATCCCAAACGTCATTGTCTTTCATGGACTTTATTTCCTCATTCATGGCATCAATCCACTTTGAGAGTTAGAACTTTGTATGGCTTGATAGAAGTTGGTTGGGTCATCTTCCATTATTCCAATGTCAACTTCATGTTCTTGGAGAAAAACAATATAGTCATCTGGAATTGAATTTCTCCTCTCTCTAGTAGATCTCCTTAATGGCAATCGTTCTTGAGGTTGTTGAGTTTTTTTTTCTTCAGAAGTAATATCTTGATTTTGAATAGGGAGTTCATTGATATTGTCTTGTTCTGGATTTGTTATTTGAGCAATGTCAGGAATAGAAACCTGATCACTGTTAATAACAAATGTAGGAAGAGAAACAAATTTCTCTTCAAAGACAATGTCTCTAACCTTATCTCCCCTCTCAAACTCAAAATCCTCAAAGAATTGAGCATTCCCTGACTAAAAAAAGGATCTAGATGTGGGATCGTAAAACTTGTTACCCATTGACCTTTCAGAATATCCAACAAAGTAACAACTAACTGTTCTTGAGTCCATTTTCTTTTCATTTGGCCTGTTTGGCCTCGCCCTAGCTGAACAACCCCAAATTTGAAAATGCTTTATGCTAGGCTTTTTACCTAACCATAATTTATAAGGGGTTTTAGCTACTGCTTTAGTTGGTACTCTGTTTACTATGTAAGCTGCAGCCTCTAGTGCTTCTCCCCAGAGTGATTCTGGTAAGGTAGAATGACTAATCATACTCCTCACCATGTCTTTAAGTTTTCTATTTCGTCTCTCAGCAACACCATTCATGTTAGGGTTACCAGGCATGGTGTATTGAGGGACGATACCACACTCTTCAAGGAATTTAACAAAAGGTCTTGGACATTGTTCACCTTATCCATCAAATCTACCAAAGTATTCACCACCACGGTCAGATTTGACAACTTTAATTCTTTTATTGAGTTGGTTTTCAACTTCAGCTTTAAACCTTTTGAACACATCCAGTGACTAAGACTTCTTATGAACTAAATATAAGTAGCCATAACGGGAGTAGTCATCTATGAACAAAATGAAATATTGTTGACCATTCCAAGAGGCCGTAGGGAATGGCCCACAAATATCAGTATGAATAAGTTCTAAGACATCTGTACTCCTGTTGGCACTTAATCTTTTAAAGTTTGTCTATTTCCCCTTTATACACTCAATACAAAATTACAAACTTCAAAGTTTGTCAAATCAAGGGGATCAAGAATTCCGTCTGACACAAGTCTTTGAATTCTTTGTTTAGATATATGACCTAAACGCATGTGCCATAACGTAGCAGAATTCTCATTGGCTAATTTTCGCTTTGTGCCACATGAACTTAAATGCAAGGTTTCATTAAATGAAACAATAGTATCAAGTAAATATAGGTTATCATATAAAGATAAAGAACCGGTACCGACAAGATTTGAATTTTGACATAAACTAAATTTACCATTTCCAAATGAACAAGAATAACCAAATTTGTCCAATAAAGAAATAGAAATCAAATTCCGTCTAAATGACGGTACAATATACGTCTCTTTCATATCTAAATAAAAACCGGTCTTTAACAATAACCTAAAAGTTCATATTGCTTCAACTTCAACTGATTTGCCATCACCAACATAAATATATTTTTCTGCATCAGTTGGGTTTCGGCAACTCAGGAAACCCTGCATAGACACACTTATGTGAGTAGTAGCACCAGAATCTATCCACCAAGTATGTTTGGGCACAGAAGTTAAATTAACCTCAGAACAAACAAAATTGAGAACCATACCTTTCTTTGCATGCCAAGCATGATACTTGGGGCAACTTTTCTTTATGTGATCCTTACTCTTGCAAAAGAAACAAGTAATTTGTTTCTTATGCGATGGACCACCTGCAGCTTCCGTATCCCTTTTCCTTTTCTTGTTCTTGTCTTTAGATCTAGTTGCCAAGTGAGCATTTTCAGTCCTTTCTTGTTCTAATCATTCCTCTTCTTGCACACAATGTGAAATGAGCTCATTAAGAGTCCATTTATCCTTTTGGCAGTTGTAACTGACTTTAAATTGATTAAATTGTGCAGGAAGAGATATCAAAATTAAATGCACGAGCAAATCCTCACATAGCTCTAACTTTAATACTTTTAATTTTGAAACAAGATGAGACATCTCCATGATGTACTCCCTTATGTTCCCTTGTCCATTATACTTCATTGAAACAAGACTAGACAATAATGTACTTGTTTCAGCCTTATCATTTTTGGCAAAAGCCTTTTCAATTTCCTCAAGGAACAACTTGGCATTAGTCTTCTGAGACATAGCACCCCTGAATGTTTCTGGAATTGCACGCTTCATGATCATAAGACTCATGTGATTAGAACGTTCCCATTTCTCAAAGTTCCTTTTATCCTTAATGGAACTTTCAACTGTTAGATCAATGGGTCGTTCCTCCCGAAGTACATGATCTAGATCCATGCAACCGAGAACAATCATAACGTTCTCTTTCCAATTCTTGAAATTTATGCCATTTAACAAAGGTATGGAATTGATATTGGCAGATATTGTAGAAGCAGAGAAATTAACTGAAAAAAGAATAAATAATCACATTCAACATATACTTAATTTATGCAATGGATTCAAATCATGGTGGGGCCCATCCCAAGATACCAAGCACAACATTAATACTCAATCTTTGGATAGAAATATTAATTTGTTAGTGGTACTCTTAATGCAGTAATCGAATAATAATAATTAATCTTGTCAAATAATAGCCTTTCTTTGGACCGACATGTTGTTCACATGGAAAACTTGATAATTATCATATATTCATTACCACAAGTATGTTTGAAATTTGGCCAAATAATAACCTTCCTTTCGGTCGATCGTTATTCGCATAAATAACAAACATACAATTTTCTTAATATTTCAAATAAATTAATCTACACAAGAGAGGCTACTTTGGTAACATCATGTTTCAATTAAATTATTTAGATTATTAGATCGAAATTAAGAAAAATTAACACCAAAATTCAAATTTCTACTGCATAACTGAAAATTTAATTTAAATGTTTGAATTTCAAAAAATCATAATCGACAGAATGTAGATATTTAAAATTCAAACATTGCATCAGCCACTGAAGTGGTGTAATGGTTAAACCTTGTGATTGTTACTCTCAGGACATGGGTTCAACTCCCAGGTTTTGAACTTTTGAAATTTGATTTTATTAACTGTAAAATGTTCAAAAACGAAAAAAAAAAAACGCTAGCCAGAGGGTTCAAACCAAGTTTTCATGATTAAAATGTATTTAAAACCAAGTTTACCATGATAGATGAGCATACGACGTGTTTACCGTCAACGAAACCGCCACATGATGTTTCAAGATTAAAATGTATTTAAAACCAAGTTTACCATGATAGATGAGCATACGACGTGTTAACCATCAACGAAATCGCCACATGATGTTTCACGATTAAAATGTATTTAAACCAAATAATAAATGCAGTGTTTCACAACGTGTTAACCATCACACCAAACGAAACCGCCACATGATGTTTCACGATTAAAATGTATTTAAAACCAAGTTACCATGATAGATGAGCATACGGCGTGTTAACCATCAACGAAGCCGCCACATGATGTTTCACGATTAAAATGTATTTAAAACCAAGTTTACCATGATAGATGAGCATACGACCTGTTAACCATCAACGAAACCGCCACATGATGTTTCATGATTAAAATGGAGTAAACCCTCAAAATGGTCCCTGAAAGATATGGGGTCGGTCACATTGGTCCCTGAAAGATAATAAATTATAAAAACGTCCCTGAGAGATAGTAACGTCAGTCAATTAGGTCCTTCCGTTAACTCCCCTCTGTTAAAGTTAACAGAACTGCAAGTAAATCTTCAAAATGGTCCCTGAAAGATATGGGGTTGGTCACATTGGTCCCTGAAAGATAATAAATTGTAAAAACGTCCTTGAAAGATATGGGGTCGGTCACATTGGTCCCTGAAAGATAATAAATTGTAAAAACGTCCCTGATAAATAATAACATCATTTATTATGCTTACTTTTTCCTCGATGATTTCGTTCCATTCCCAAATATTATTGGTCGACCATCCAATACATGCATATGTTTCTATTATAATGCTCTACACACCTTTGGTCTGTGTCTGCTATTGTTGGTTTTCTCTCCCTTGGCTAATGTATCATGAACTCCAAGTCTTTTGGTTTCCTCTTTCACTAGAAGCTCACGCATATCCTCTTCCTCTGCAGTCTAAGAATAAATAGAAACTCCAAAACCTTTAAGGACAAAGGAAGTGCATGAGCCAAATCATCATCTTCTTGTTGAAGATGACTTTGAGGAAGCCCACCATCAAATTAATGAATCTTGAAATATTATTCCGTTGAAGGAGGGAAAACTTTAGAAAGCATAGAGAAATAGAAGTAAAAATGATATGGCAAGAAAGAGTAAAAACAAAAGCTTTACACATCAGCTGGATTCACAACTCCCTGAAATTTCTCAATAAGAGGAAATGGACAATCTATCCAAAGCATCAAGCACGTGCCTCATTGTAGGTCTCTTATCAGGGCTGTTATGGACACAAGCCATCACAATTTTCAAAACTGCAATTATCTCTTCTTCATTATCTGCATCTTCAGCCAAGTATGGGTCTAATACGTCTGAGAGTGACTTTTCCTCCTCAATGCAGAACTGAATACATTGAACAAGGTCCATTTCTGAGTTACCCACTTGGATAATGGGTAATCGTCTTGTGATCATTTCTAACAAAATCACACCATATGAATAAACATCTCACTTCTGTGATGGCTTCATCACTTTGAGTGCTTCTGGAGCTTGATAACTATTTCCAAAAATATTAGTTGCAACTTCAGTGGACAAGCTCTTTTGTCTCTCTTGGAATTTCTCTACAGCCACTAGTTGGATTGCAAGGTTGGGGTTCCCCCAACAATATTTGCAAGGCGCCCAAGTCCAAAATCAGAGATTTAGGGTGTCATGTTATGTCCAACAAGTATGTTACTTGGCTTGAGATCTCCAATAACATATTTTTTTGGGCTAAATTCATGCACATAGACCAATCCTTTTGCAGTTTCTTTCATGATTTTCTTTCGATAGGACCAAGATAGCGGGGTAAATGTCATTAGTCCAGCCTTTCCAGAAATTGTGAAGCATGGCTCGCATTTGGGAATGAAACGAAATCAACGAAGAAAAAGAAAGCATAATAAATGATGTTATTATTTTTCAGGGACGTTTTTACAATTTATTATCTTTCAGGGACCAATGTGATCGACCCCATATCTTTCAGGGACGTTTTTACAATTTATTATCTTTCAGGGACCAATGTGACCAACCTCATATCTTTCAGGGACCATTTTGAGGATTTACTTGCAGTTCTGTTAACTTTAACAGAGGGGAGTTAACGGAAGGACCTAATTGATTGGCGTTACTATCTCTTAGGGACGTTTTTACAATTTATTATCTTTCAGGGACCAATGTGACCGACCCCATATCTTTCAGGGACCATTTTGAGGGTTTACTCGATTAAAATGTATTTAAACCAAACAATAAATGCAGCGTTTCATAACGTGTTAACCATCACATCAAATGAAACCGCCACATGATGTTTTACAATTAAAATGTATTTAAACCAAACAATAAATACAGCATTTCACATCTAACAGACATGCGAGATTCATGTGCATTTAATTAGAAATAAGAAACATAACTTGAATTATTCCATAAAGAACAATATTTAAATCTTTAATACTTGGAAGAAGAAGATTCAAATTTCAACATGATAACTTCTAAATGGAATCAATATGAAGCTATCATAATTGTAAACACAAGCATAATGAATCGAGGAAATTCATCTCCCAATGATTTAACATAAAAGTGGCTCTGATACCACTTGTTGGAAATTTAATGGAGAAACTTAAGATGATAATCATCATAATTTGAGAACTTTTATGTCAAATCACCAAGATAATAAATAAGATAAACAAATAGCGGAAGCGTACCAAGATCCATTAGCAAACTTGATATATGAACTTATATAGGTTTGATCTTCCAAGCCTTATATGTACAATTACTCTCTAGAATAAATAGTTCCTCTTCTCCAATGATGGGATGTCAGAAAAGAAAACTGTACATATAACTTGGGGATCATAACCTTATATAATAAGAACATACCCTTTCATGAATAGTTGCATCCTTTGTAGTTTTCTTATTTCTATTTTGGCCCATCATAAATTAAAATAGAAATAAGACTTTTGGTATCTACACATTACAAAGCCCGTATTTAGTGAGATGTCATTAATCCCAAAATTAATCCTTATAACATCACTCCAAATGGGATTATTCTTTAGATAACTTATAACACATAATTAATGATATATGTAGGCCCACATATTAGATAAATATCTACCATGTATAACTCACTCAAACATCATGACATAACATGCACTTTTCAATACGTCAAAAATATGGTCACCTCTCGCTAATTACATGGTAAGACAATAATCAGTTATGTTTTGTCACTCTCTATATTACATGAGATAATTTTTCATATCATACAAAAATAGTGAATAAGAGATACGTATGCTTCACTTTAAGTAATGGTAAGTAACCTAAATACTCATATTAGACGCGCCAAATTTAGGTGTCCAAAAGTAGCCCTCTACCAATACTACTTTTTAAAATCGTTGGGGTTAAGTAATCAGTTTTTGCCAATAAACGTGTCTTATATATATATCTATAATAATTAATCCTCCACCAAAACACACACAGAGAGAGAGAGAGAGAGAGTTGGGGTAGTGTGAGGGAAAACTTAAAGGGTAGTTGAAAAACTGATAAACTGCCTTATAGTTTCAAACATTAGAGACCAGTCAAATAAATTACCCCCTTTTCCTTATTCTCATAACCATAAAAACCAATTTCATATCCTTTAAACGGCAAGAGTGAAACATTGGGAAATCTCAAAAATTTCAAAACACAGAAAATTATAGCAAACATCCTAATATGGAGTCTGTTGTGTCTGAGCTAGAAGGCACACTCTTGAAGGACTATGATCCATTCTCCTACTTCATGTTGGTAGCATTTGAAGCCTCTGGTTTGATTCGCTTTGCCTTGTTGTTGATCCTATGGCCTTTGATTCAGTTGCTGAACATGGTTGGGATGAGGGACACAGGGCTTAAAGTTATGATCTTTGTGGCTGTTGCTGGGGTTCCTAAGTCTGAGATTGAATCAGTGGCTAGAGCAGTTTTGCCAAAGTTCTATATGGATGATCTTGATATGGATGCTTGGAAAGTGTTTAGCTCCTATGACAAAAGGGTTGTGGTGACTAAAACGCCTAGGATAATGGTGGAGAGGTTTGTGAAGGAGCATTTGCGTGCTGATGAGGTTATTGGGAGTGAGTTATCTTTCAATAGGTTTGGGTTGGCTACTGGGTTGGTACAAGGTGACTCAATTAATACCATTTCTGAAAGGGTTGCTAAGATCTTCAACAATGAAGCACCCACTTTGGGTATGGCAAGGCATAGTACTACATCATCATCAAGCTATGATTCCGTTTTTCAGCTTTGCAAGGTACATATAATCTCTAATTAATTAACCAATTTCGAAAAATTTCTCAAAGAACAAAATTCAAAACAACATAGAAAAATGAAGAATAAAAAGTGACATTATTTTGAATTTTAATTGCAACTATGATTTTTTTTTTCATACTCCCTCATTTTACATCTTATTCTTTTTTTTTATCTCTCTCTTCTTTTCTCTTCTCATCAATTATTACATTCTTCACCCATTCATAAATATAAGAAAAAAGTTTATATTTAGTGGACTAAGAGTGTGCGGTAAAGTATTTCAACTAGGTGAAAGTTTAAATCAGTATCTAAAAGACCGAAACCATTTCATCAATGTTTAGTAAGATAATCTTTTTAGGTAACTGTAAACTTTTCTTGCTACTGGCTAAAAATTTATTATAATTTTATCTCTCAACAATTATCCTTCGTCATTATTTAATAATTAATTATATCCTTATATGTAATTTTACCATTTTTAACTAGTTTTACCAAACACTTACAATCAAATCAGTCAATTTTTCAGATTTCAACTAGTTTTAACTAATCAAATCAGTCAATTTTTCAGATTTCAACTAGTTTTAACTAACACGGTCTAAAATTAAA